GCTGGTGAAGCTAGATCGATATGGCTGCGTTTATACTTTGCGGCAGCGTAGCGTAGCGCTTCCAGCGGACGCCAGCGGGAGTGCCGAAGAGAGGATGCATATCGATCTAGCTTCACCAGCGTTTCTACAGCGTTTTCCCAGCGCTTGCAGCGGCGGGGAGGAGAGTACTTTGTACTCTCCTCCGTCCAGTGCTCTCTAGCCCCTCTCTAGCCCCGTCGCTGCAAGCGCTGGGAAAACGCTGGAGAAACGCTGGTGAAGCTAGATCGATAGCTATGCTTCCCGTGCCCTCGCTACGCCAGCGTGCGCTGCCGCTGGTGAAGCTAGATCGATATGCATCCTCTCTTCGGCACTGCCGCTGGCGTACGCTGGAAGCGCTACGCTACGCTGCCGCAAAGTATAAACGCAGCCTTATCTCCAGGAACTTGGCCGATGTAGCCAAGGCGAGACCTACTGTGGCAGCGGTGTCGCAAATTTCCACAGACTATGTGCAGCCAATACAAAAGGTCAGTTGCACCATGGGACGAACTCGGTAATTCGGAGGTCGCAACCCAAATCTGAAACCTTCTTAATTCTCCATTCTCACATGAGACGAGATTGGCACGACTTAGTGCTTTGTGGTGGACGTAAGCATTCTATGCCAGGAATGAAATAAACTTTCAAGTAACCGTACACCGTGGCTTTGTGAATACTGCAGTAAGCATACTGCGATTATTTTAGCATTGCAAAACCGAACATTTCAAGTGAAAGCTAAAGGGGCCATCATCAAATTCGAGCATAATCGTCAATGTGTCACGAAATCCGACCCTCGCCAGATGATTTTTGGTTACCGTGAAGCCTCGCGACGCGTTACCTGTTACTCTTTACAGATTCACTTATTCGCGATGGACGGCCAAGGGAAGGACCAGAATGATACATCCGACGGGCTGAGAGCAAATAATGCTCAGAAGAGTCGAAGTCAACCGAGCGGTTTGGACCGAGTTAAGAGTCTCACAAGGAAGTTGTCAGCAAAGTCGAGGTTTGTGTAGTTCGTTAGTTCCGGGGCACATCATCGTTGGGGATTCCCCGACAAAGGGTGTTTCGTATAAAACGCGAGAAAATTTATTTTGATGGTGATTTTCTTTCCAGGGACGTTGTTAAAATAGGAGGAGGGGAAATGTATTGCCTGTTGTGGGAGAAGGTGGCGCGGGGTATTATCCCTTCTTACCTATCTCAAAAGGTAGCCTGACTTTTCGTGATTCTCTTGTATCAAGTGCACTTATATTCCCACTCGCCCAAAGCGGGAAGAGTAAAAATTGAATATTTCTGGGAATTCCCTGAAGAGAGAGTCGGTAGAAATGAGCGAAAGTCTAAAAATGTTAAAAGAGAGGGTTATTTTCCATCGAAGTTTTCCCTTATCAATTCTAATTTACTTCTCTCCCGACAGCCTCGATGAACAGGAACCAGGATGGGGTCTCACCAAAACCTCCCGAAAAAAAGGGGGGTCTCCAGAACGAACGAGGGGGGCGTGCGCTATTCACTTCCATTAGTCGTGCATTATCTTTGGCGCTCCACCTTATTTGTCTTATTATTTAGGCGCATAGAGACTACGCTCCACACATAAAAAATAAAAATTCTCACTTAAACCTCTCGTGTCCCTTAACCGAAAGCATACTAACTTACAGCACTGCCACGGAAGATGCCAGCAGTATAGCTTGCAATAAATTAACGTTTGAAACAATGACATTTCCCGCTCTTCCCTGATTCACGGTGGTGGTGAGGGAAGAACGTGATTGAGAGACGGAAAAGATTGCTCTTTAACCAACTAAATTCTCTCGTTTTATATTACTGTTTCAAAGTATTGGTGTTTTTTTCCACAACTGGAGGTTATCTGTGAGATATTTTCATGTTTTCAATAACTGCTCTCTTGCAGTAGAAAACTTGGTATCGGAATTTGCTTTAGAACTGCAGATGTTAGGGCGATCTCATTAAAGATTACCACCCCAAATCCTGTGTTGGTTTTAGTAATTCCTGTAATTTATATGCGATCATTGTTTATTAAATCGGTGCGATAATCGTAGGAAAGTAGTGGTCTCACGTATTTTGTGTAACAATCAGCTGATGGCAATCACCATTATTTAAGGGCGCGCGGAGGTATGAATACGTGGTGGCGATTTGGCCATCACTTTTAAGTGTTCGCATGGTTTTTATGCATGAGGATTTCAAATTCGCAGTTGTTACTTCGTAGTTTCCTCTTTGTCAGTACCCCCGTGGATTTCTCGAGATTTAGCTGCAAATCAGTTCATGGAGCGCTGTTCATTTCCAAGCAGGGCTTTGAAACCGAATGTTCCAATGGCTTGAACGCCCGACAAATAAAACTCTCCAATTCAGTGTTTAATCAGGGGTATTCAGTTTATCCTTCAGGTTTTGCGAAATTCTAATAGCAGGGTACAGCATCGTTGTGTGAAACACATGGGGTCGTACTTTTCCGCTGGGGAGGGGGGTCGTATTTGGTCGTTGTTGGGAGGGGGGGGGTCGTATGTGGCTTTGAGAGAAATTGCCGCGTTGGGAAAAATTTCTTCCGGTTGTTGACTTCTTCGTGATTTTTCCTGCTTCGTGTGTACTATATACCCCTCTCCCGACTGACGGGGAATTTTGGATGAAAATCTGGAAAATGTGAGAATTTGGTAGGTAGGTGTTGGGGAAGAGGTGGAGGGTCGTACCGAGACCCTCCCTCGAGGGGGGGGGGTCGTACTGACACCACCACTTCACACATCACGATGCTGTACCCTGTCTAATAAATTTCTAATTGAGCGCACAGAAAGTATGTGGGTTTTTTCTTGTAAAAGATGAAGCCATCCAAGGAATTAAGTAGTGTTTCTGTGTGAATGCTTGTTCATACTTCTTATTTCTTTCCAGCATTTTTATTTCCTTTCAAATCAAGGTGTCCAATAGGGCGCTGGCCCAATATACCGAGCTCCTGGAGTTCCTGTGAATGCGTGGAACCACTCGGTGCTGTCCTGCGGAGTCCTGTGAAACCTCGGATTGCTATGAATTTTGCCATATTACAGCACAAGTAGTCAGCCACCCAGGATCGATACACTTATTAGACTGAAGTTCCAGCGTAGGTCGCCGTCTTAGAAGTGTTTTACGGCTAGAATTTACCTGCTATAGATTTCATTTTCACGCCATTCCTAAGAAAGAGGATCATATCGAAGCAGAATATCGTAAAAATCGAATTTTGCGAAAATTTTCCACAAAGCGATGAATTGCCGCGGTTTCCCCTATCTGTAAGTCCCTAGGATGCCGTGCATGCCTGCTCACAGCAGCCCATTATATTTACAGAATTTAACAAAGTGGTCTAGTTTTTACTTGCGCCAGTCTCGAAAACTTAGCAGTTCGTTGTGTGGAGAAACTTGAATCCTAAAATAGCTGTGGAATCATCTTGTCTGGACTTTTCTGATGTCTCTTTCTCCGCCCTTTCCACGTTATAATTCGCTTCTGTAATCTCAACTGCTCACAAACCCTTTTACCCATTTCAGGAACAAGCGTGTGACAAGTTGTGCGTTATCATGAAATTGGTTATAGTACCACAGAACATTTACAAGAACTTGGGAAGCAGCTTTATAACCCCCTTTTTTCAGAAAAGAAAAGTCAAGGGACAGGGGAAGCGAAAACCAAGTCAACATTCACTCCAACGTCCGATATGTCCAAGGCTCCCGAAATGAAACCACAAATCAAAATAGGCCACTATATTCTGAAGGATACACTTGGAGTGGGCACTTTTGGTAAAGTAAAAGGTAAGCTTCAAGTTGCTAACGTTTTTGGAGAGACTACTAATCAGCGCTTCTGCGTCTTTTCCCTCATCCAGGGCTAAGGCTCGAATGAGGGAAAAGACGCGGAAGCACTATGGTGTTTTCGCCTTTTCTCAAATGCGTTGGGCATCGTTCGACTTGGCGATGATGAGCGCCGACGCGTTGTAACGCGCTGCAGCGCGCGACGACGCTTCATAGTTGCGTATTCTCTGCGCTCCAATTCTGTATACGCGAAGGTAACGCAGACGAATGATCGCTCGGTCTGCTCTCGTGGCCAATACTGACCATCACCAGTACTACGTGATTTGAGAAATGTCCCGCTCAATTACGTAAGGGACTGCGATCGTTTTGTCTGCGGCTGCGTTCGCATCTTTAGCCCTGGAGCGATACGAGTACGTTACAGCGTGTTTACGCGAAGTCTGAACGCTGCCTTAGCTGCAGCTTTTCTTAGTTCTTCTCGTAGCTATTTTTCATGTTGAATTTTGCAAAGTGGCCCGGTAGCATGTTCAGTTCTGCGCTCTGTGCTAGTCTGTAGACAAAACTGGTTGGTTGTCGTGATCCCCCATGTTTCGCTTTTTACACTGGTTCCTAGCGTGAGCGTACTATAATTTTTTTCTGAGATATTAATCGGTGAGGGTCTAATAAGACGAGCGTATCGTATCACATCACCCTGACCCGTTGTTGTAGGTCATGCTGACCATCCATCTGGTGACAATTGAGACAATGTATTTTTATTAATATTATTTTCAGTTGGTATCCATGAAGCTACAGGGTATAAGGTCGCGGTGAAAATACTCAATCGTCAAAAGATCAAAACTCTTGATGTAGTAGGAAAGATTTAGACGCAATACGAACCTTCTCTGTTCCGGTCACCCTCTATAATTCGACTGTGAGTTGGATTTTTTTACTTTTTTCCATCTCCTATACTTTATTATTCATGAGCTGTTTTATTCGTGCGTTGTGTATAGGGAGTTTTGGTTAGGACAGTCATCCGATCGCTATCCTTATATTGAGAATTTTTCAACCTGCAAAATGTTTCCGCACCATTTATTCACATTTTTCTATATTTTGGTTGGCTGGCATTCACTGAATGGTGTAGGAAGCTTTGTGACTAGAGGCGCAGGATCTTCGAGCCAAAGTGAGGGGGGGGGGGGTGTGAGAGCTTCGAATGCACAGGAGTTGCTTAACCAGGCCAGACTTGGTCAAATAGCTTTCTTTTCCCGATTGCTTATGACAAGCAATGTTTGTGACTTTAAAAAGTGCTTTGGGTGGTGTGCACCAGAATGTTCCACTATATTGACCTAGTGCCCTATCGATAAATAAGTGCCATCACCAGAGCAATGGCTTTTGCCACTGACCGGTTCGGGAAGTCCGATGACAGTGCAGCTATTCAGCAGAATGTTAGGCAGCGTTCAGACTTCGCGACGCAGACGGCCTCGGTATCGCGCGTTTGGCGGCGATCGATGCCAATCTTGATCTTATCGCACCTGCCGGTTCGGTTTGGAAGCGAGACCGAACGCGCTGTCGCGAAAGTCTGAACGCTGCCCCAAGGATAGCGGAAATTCAAGAGATTTCGAGGCATTTTTGCACTTTCACGGGAGAGTAGGAGAATCGACGAACCTAAGTTTTAGCGGAACGGTGGTAATCTTTCGGGTATTTTTTCCGCGCGAAAAAAGTGCTGCAGACAGCTAAGGCGTTGGCTATGGCTAGGTCAATGAACTGTTTTCCCTTACCATTCCTTACACCCATTCCTCGACCTCCGTGCACCCTTTTGAGGCCTTTTCTGTCACTTCCGACATGACTGTTCAGATCACTTGCTATGGTCACAACATGCGAACGCAGTTAAAAAGTGTTAATATGGCTCATTCATTCGCTAGGGCTGTCGTTCCCAATAACCTTTATCGTTGTGGAAAGAAATCTGTCAAATTGTTTCAGGTATCAGGTGATCAGCACTCCTACTGATATATTCATGATAATGGAATATGTATCGGGTGGCGAACTCTTTGACTATATCGTCAAACATGGCCGTGTATGTCTTTGTCTGCTTTCTGTACGCCAATAGAAGACACCTTGGCCCAATGTGAATTTCCAGCTGAAAACGCCGGAAGCTCGCCGATTTTTTCAACAAATTATATCAGGAGTGGATTATTGTCATAGACACATGGTCGTTCATAGAGATCTGAAACCCGAAAATCTCCTTTTGGATGAGCACAATAATGTAAAAATAGCAGATTTTGGTGAGTTTATCACTCCATTTTTCATAAGTTTTGATACTGTAATAATGGTTTGAAGGTTTATCCAACATAATGACGGATGGTGATTTTCTTCGTACTAGCTGTGGATCGCCAAACTATGCTGCTCCCGAAGTAATAAGTGGCAAGTAAGTGAATTTATTCGCCTTGTTGCTTGTTTTTAGTTGTGAAAGTGTGAAAGTGACCCTTAACACTATTCTGTAGGCTTTATGCTGGGCCGGAGGTGGACGTATGGTCTTGTGGCGTCATTCTTTACGCCCTTCTGTGCGGCACTCTTCCTTTCGACGATGAACATGTTCCTACACTGTTCAGAAAAATAAAATGTAAGTAGTGTTCTTATGATGTGTTATGGCATAAGCTCTTGAGATTGTGTGAGTGCTACTAGAGGTATGAAAGGCTGCGTTCATACGTTCATACTTTGCGGTTGCGTCTGCCAGCGACCAATAGCGTCCACCAGCGTCAGCGACCAGGAAAGTATCGCTGAATAGATTACATTCCTAACACTCGAGACGCTGGTGGACGCTGGCAGACGCTGGATCGATTTCTATACTTTCTTAGTCGCTGACAGACGCTCGTTTCGCTGGGTGCTTATTGGTCGATGGTGGACGCTGCCGCAAAGTATGAACACAGCCGAAGGGGTCTACTGGGTCTGCCATCCTGTGTCTCGCACGAAGACTGTGATGCTTCCTTCCCCAAATACAACTTTAGAAGAGCGCAGACGATAAGAGTTGACAAAGCTTGCATTATGCTCTATCCTCAGCTCAAGCAGCATAATTTCTGAGGATGATTCTTTCGTTTTTCAATGTTTACTTTTCCTTTTTGATCTTTCGTTGCTCACCAGGTCCTTTCTTACCCTTCTCAAAGTCACATTCAGGATATGGTGTTTGTTATGCTGCTCCATAACCTCTTATTTTTCAGCTGGAGTTTTCCCTATACCGGAGTACTTGGATAAGCCCCTGGTAAATTTGCTTCTGCACATGCTAATGGTTGACCCTATGAAGAGGGCCACCATTAAAGATGTGATGTGGGTTCACTTTCTGTTCATCCACTTATTCAAATTGTATGGTTTTGTCAGTGTTTTCCTTACTAGCAAAAGTTTTTAGCGCTCATGAATGGTTCCAAAAAGATCTGCCTGCTTATCTGTTCCCACCAGTAAACGAATCTGAAGCCTCTATAGTGGACATCGAGGCAGTACGTGAAGTTACTGAGGTGAGTGTGACATACCAGTTATTGTTGTTGAAATGACTACCTGCTCACTACTTCATGAAAGTATGAGAACAAAGATGTCGCCGTTGATCAGTTCCTTTTCGGGTTGCGCCACGCGTTCGGTTTCCATCCAGTATTTTGGGGAATGTTGACCCCGCTTAGGTTATACGATGACTACAAGGTTTACACGTTGACTACCGAGGTTTCGATGTGCAAGTGAGTATTTTACCTTCCCAGAAAAGTCTGGAACCAACTGAACTGCCCTGAAGAGAAGGAACCCTTGGTTGCCCTGGGTTGGAGACAGTCAGGAGCGACAGCCAAACCATGAGCCTAATGAGCGACTTTATTTGGAATAACCTCACCTCCGCCCCTCGTGCGTTTTGATGACTACATCAGGTAGTCATCAAGTTTTGCTGGTTACCTGTATACGCGCCCGTTTAAACTTGTCCAAAGTCTTAGTTGCTGTTGTTTCTCTATTTTACTTTCATGGCTTCGTTCGAAAATTATTTTGTAGCGCTACAACGTACCCGAAGAGGAGGTCACTGCAGCTCTACTCGGGGATGATCCCCATCATCATCTTTCAATAGCATACAACCTTATTGTTGACAACAAAAGGATAGCTGACGAAAGTGAGTTTTCTTACAATGTATGATTTTTGTACTTGTACATCGCTTCTTCTGATCCATGTAGGATAGGATTTTATGTCACCCACGCCCAAAAAGTGGTTGTGGTCGATCGACATCACCGCCCTTATTCTCTGGTAAAATTTTTTGCAGACGTAAAGCGAACACCTATTTCATTCATGTGCCATACACGCCTCTACGTTTTAGTTATTGTACAAGTATTTTGTTGGCCCATAAGTAGCGCATTTTTTAGCTGAAAGTTTTGCGTTGAAAGTGAGAAACTTTTTATCGTTAAATGTATTCATGTCGATGAAGAAATTTTCGCTCTATAAAGCTGTGCGCTTCAAATTTCTGCTAATCTATTTCCTTTAGTTTTCAGTGCTTAAAGTGAATTGTCGAATCGATGAATTCCAGCAATTTCCTTTTACAATCCTTCAAAAAGCTGAGGCAAAAATGTTACAAGATTGTAGTTCAGGAATCAGGGTTACAGTACCCTGGAAAATGCGCCTGAATTCAGATATATCGCACCGTGAACGACACAGTTGTGCATACCGTAACTCACACCAACTCTCTTTTGTAGACGTTTAGGGAACTTGAAACCCATCCACATGACGATTCCGAGTTTGATATCATTTCGCACAGGGAATCTGATCCAGACATCCCAGAGGTGCTTCCCCCCACCGCTCCTCTTCGACTGAACCTGAGCAACATACTTTATCTCTCCTGCTGGCAATTTATGCTTTCCACCTTTGTACCAAAACGTCCCATATTTTGGGACAAGCGGGCTGCTGTGCGCAATGTGTTGATTGATTACTTGACCGAT